CCAGAGGACCGTTAGATGGGAGTGGGTTGCAGTGGCAGTCCTTTTCAGGTTGGACATAGGAGTGTTCAGGATGTCTACGAGAGCAGATCAAGTGGAGGGAGCCAGTGCAAGAGGAGTGGTGAACATGGAGATTTGGAGTGGAGTTGGCCAGGTTATAAAAGGCAATGAACATAAGGGAGGGTATCATCTTGATGCCATATGTAATTGAGAGTCTTTTTGGGTGCTGAGGATGGAGGGCCGTTGGCTGAGACAGACTTTCAGGGAAATGAACTTAGAGGACAGATTGAAGGAGGGCTCAGAGGCTGGTACTTTGACCAGTTCATTCAGCCACTGAGTGAACACTGTGGCCGGAGGTTGAGAGTAGAGACTCTGGAGTCGGGCTGCCTGGGTCTGATCCTGGCTCTCAACTTAAAAGCCCTTTGAGTCTCAGCAGGGAGGATCCCCTTTGTGGTCAGATTCTTCACCTGTAAAACAGCACCTACTTTACACAGTTAAATGAGGATTAAATGAGTTACTGCAGAAATGCCAGTGTGGGCTGCTGAGGGTTTAGATGAGATTGGTACGTCTCCACTCTTACTGTTCACTGCTTCCTATTGTACCTACCTACTCTGTCTCCAAATATAGTTTTCATTTTCTCATTAGGACTGGGGAGCCTCCAGGCTGTTTTCACAGTAGCTGCACCAATTCACATTCCCACCAACAGTGCACGAGGGTTCCCTTTTTCCACATCCTCGATAACACTTGTTATTTCTTGTCTTTTTGATAATAGTCATTCTGACAGGTATGATGTGATATCTCTTTGTAGTTTTGATTTGTACTTCCCTGGTGGTTAGTGATGTTGAGAGCATCTTTTCATGTGTCTTTGGAAAAATGCCTATTAGATCCTCTGCCAATTTTTAAATTGGATTATATGGGGGTTTTTTGGTGTTGAGTTGTACGAGTTCTTTATATATTTTGGATATTAACCCCTTATCCAGTATATCATTTACAAATATCTTCTCCCATTCAGTAGGTTGCTGTTTTATTTTGTTGATGGTTTCCTTTGTTGTGCAAAAGCTTTTTAGTTTGATGTAGTCCCAGTGATTTACTTTTACCTTTTTTTGGTCCATTTCTGAGATCATATGACCCAGTAATTCTACTTCTGAGTATTTACCTGAAGAAAACAAAGCCACTGATTTGAAGAGATATATGCAACCCTATGTTTATTGCAGCATTATTTACAATAGCCAAGATATGGAAACAGCCTGCGTGTCCATTGATAGGTGACTGGATAAAGAAGATGTGGTATACACACACACACACACACACACACACACAATGGGATATTACTCAGCCGTGAGAAAGAATGAAATCTTGCTGTTCACAACAACATGGGTGGACCTAGAGGGTATTATGCTAAGTGAAATAAGTCAGACAGAAAAGACAAATATCATATGATTTCACTTACATGTAGAATCTAAAAAACAAAACAAATGAAAAAACAAAAACAGAAACAGACTCATAAATACAGAGAACAAACTAGTAGTTGCCAGAAGAGAGAGAGATGGGGGCATAGGCAAAATAGGTGAAGGGGATTAAGAGGTACAAACTTTCAGTTATAAAATAATTAATTCACAGGGATGAAAAGTACAGCATAGGGAGTATAGTCAATAAAATTGTAATAACCCTGTATGGTGATGGATGGTAACTACACTTATTGTGGTGAATATTACATAATGTATGTAATTGTTGAATCACTATGTTGTATACCTGAAATGAATATACTATTTTGCATCAACTATAATTCAGTTTAAAAAATATTTAAAAAAATAGAAGGTTGACACCTGGAGGGGAGAGTGGTCTAGCCAAGACAAAAGCAAAGAAACTTCAGGAAGAGCAGGCCTGGTGTGCCTCAGAAGCAGGAGGAGGGTAGTGTGGCTAAGTAACACAAGCAAGGCCATGTTGGACAGAAATGAGAGGCAACAGGAGGCCAGATCACGGAGGGTTTTATAGGCTAGTGTGAGAAATTTAGCTATAACTGTCAATGAAATGGGGAGCCATTGTGGGATTTGGAGACAAGGAGCAACATGATCCAACTTGGGTTTTACATTAATTACTCTGGCTGCTGTGCTGAGAAGAGACCATAGGGAGTTTAGACTAGAAGCAGGAAGAAGTCAGCAGGCTGTTGGTATCATCCAGATGAATCATGGTAGCTTAGACCATGGTAAGAACAGAGGGTGGGAAAAGCAGTAAGATTCTGTGTGTGTTTGTGTGTGTGTGTGTGTGTGAGAGAGAGAGAGTTTTAAACCATGATGAAATATACATAACATAAAATTTACCATTTTAACTCTCTCTAAGTGTATAGTCCAGTGGCATTAAGTACATTTGAATTACCATACAACCATCCCCACTATCCATCTCCAGACCATTTTCATCATCCCAAACTGAAACTCTTGGATACATTTTTAAGGCAGAATCAGCATACTTCCTGACAGATTGGACTGGGGTGTGAGAGAAAGAGAAGAGTCAAAGACAACTCCAAGATCCTTGACCTGAGCCACTGGAAAAATGGAATTGCTATTGACAAAATGGAGAGGATGGGTAGAGCAAGCCTGGGTAGAAAGGAAGAGAAGGAGTTGAGATTTCTTCATGTGAATTGGCGGTGTCCACTAGACACCCAAGTGGAGAATTTGAGACTGCATTTGGGTGTGCAAGTCTGGAATGCACTGGAACTGGGTAGAGGTATACGTTTGGATGTCATTAGCAGATAGATTGTTTTTAAGGCACAGAAAGGAATGAAATAATCAAAGGAGTGAATGAGACAGAGAAGAGATCAAAAGCTTTGGAGCCGGCTATCATTAGCCCCAGACTGAGAGGGTAGGGAGGAAGAGAAGTGGCAAAAGAGATCAAGAAGAAAGAAAACCAAGAGAAGAGTGTTGAATGCTGCTGAGAGGTCAAGCAAGATGAGGACGTAGAATTAACCATGGGCTAGAGTGGTGCATAGGTCACTGGTGACCCTAACAAGAGCATTTTGGGGGAAGTGGTAGGGACAAAAGCTTGACTGGAATGGGTTAAGAGAAAAAGAGAGAAGAATTGGAAGCAGCAAGTAAAGATGATTCATTTCTAGATTTTACTCTAAATGGGGAGCAAAGCTGATCAAGGAAATAATATCAAGAGTAGTTTCTTTTATTTTTAATGAGGGAAGGAACAGCATATTTGTATGCTAATGGCAATGATCCAGTGGAGAGGGGAATGGTGATACAAGAGAGGGAAGGAGTATTTTTAAAATTTTGAATTTGAATACCTCTACATGAGGCCACAGCATTTTTGCCACATTCTAAACCATACTCTGACCCACTTCACTCATTTGTGTAACCTACATTTGACTTTGTATCTTTTGGCCTGGATAGATACAGATCTATATGGGACTCTAAAACAACACTGGAATCAATTGGCAAGAATGTAAATTAGACCCAGTCCTGCTAAAGCAGACAGAACCCCTAAGTGCTAATGTACCCTCATTCCCAGGAGTGTTTTGGCCACTTGTTCATGCAGATACTACAGATAATTGACAAAAGCAGCTGAAATCCCCAAACCTAATAATATACAATATAATGTAGATTTGGGGGGCTCAGTAATTTATTTTAGTGTCTAGAAATCTACTTAACTCTCTCACTTTCCTGGTCCTTTTGGACCTAGGGATGGTGACAGTTCTACTGTTGGACCCAGTTTCCCTTACCCCTTATCCACACCTTTGTAATTAGTCCCTTTGTGTATGAACCCTTTAAAAATTATTCTAATTTAAATATGTCATGTTTTGGGGTGCCTGGGTGGCTCAGTCGTTAAGCGTCTGCCTTCGGCTCAGGTCATGATCTCCAGGTCCTGGGATCGAGCCCCGCATCGGGCTCCCTGCTCAGCGGGGAGTCTGCTTCTCCCTCTCCCTCTGCCTCTCCCCACTGCTCCTACTCTCTCTCTCTCTGTATCTCTCTGTCTCAAATGAATAAATAAAAAAAAATTTTAAATATGTCATGTTTCATATTGGAACCCTGACTGATACAGTCATTGGTATCAGAGTTTTCATCACCTGGTGATAACATGATGGCTGATGAAAACTCCGTTGGATCCCCTGTTCTGGGGGCACAGAGTGGGTGCGGAGGGGTAGACTGTAGTGGGTGTCTTCTGTTTGTACCCCTCTTCTATTTTCATGGGACTTTAGACATGATGTCTAATTTAATCTTCTCAACAACCCTATAGTAATAATAGGTCTTCTCGATTACCTTTGTCCTATATATCTGGCATTGTTCTGGGTGCTTTCCAGGAATCCATTCAATTAATCCTCCCAGTAGATTTACATGCCAAGTATCCAATTATTCCCATTTTACAGACAAGGAAACTTAAGTATAGAACAGTCCAGTAACTTCCCCGAACCCACTAAGTTAGAGATTAACCTCTGCCTCATAAGGCTTCTCAAAGGGGTTAGGTATGATTATCCTGTTTTTGCAGATAGGAAAACGAAAACTTAGAGAAGTAAAGGGACTCATCCCAGATATAGTCACCTGCACAGTGAGGATTCAAACCCAGGTCCGTCTAACCTCAGAACTCATGTCTGACATACTCTCTGCTTTCCTAATGCTTCATTGTCAACTGTCATGATGAGAGAGAGCTGACTGGGAAACCCAGGTTCTATGAACGTAAAATACTAAATATTAAAATATTAAAAATATTTTTAAAAGAAATGTGATGGACCTAATTCAAAATCCCTGCTAACAGATTTCCTAGGAGAACATTGCTTTTGGAATCATGTACATTGTGTTTGTACATTTATTAGCTGACATTAGCCCTGATCAAGGTGAAGTAGAATAGAGTGGTCATTTGTCATTCACAGACTGAGGAAATGCGTAAACCAGACCTGGAGAGAAGAGCCTGAGAAGGGAAACCACACTGGCCAGGGTACCAGTAACTTCTTTGTGCTTTCGAGACAGTTTCTCGTCTGCCACAAATAAAGGAGGGCAGAGTCAAGACCTAGCATACGCTTTATCATTCCTATTGCTCCTTGGGAATTTCCCTTGGGAATTTCCTCCTTTGGACTAGCACCATTGGCCTCATCTAGCCAATGTCACGGACTTACGGCTCTCTCCAATGATCTGCTTTTCAGATAACAGCATCCAGTCAATTTTCTGTTGTTGTTGCTGCTGTTCCATGCAGAAGAGGTAAGTCTACTTCTGAGGGCAACTTCTTGGAAAGTCATCCATTCAGTTTCTTCATTGTCTATTGTGTCTCCGTGGCTCCTTGATTCTGCCCTTCCCTTTGCCGGGGAAGCCCTTCTCCCATTTCCTCCCGGCTGCGTGCCCACTGATCTAAAAGTCTTCCTTCAGAAATTTCAGGTCTTCCACCATCTGTCCTGGATCCCTTTGGCATGAATTGCTCCTTCCATTACGTTCCCACAGCATGTGGCTTGGGTCTGTATTTAATATTTATTTTGTGTATGCTGTTTACTTCTCTGTGTTCTGCTCAATAATTTTTGCCCTTTAAGGGCAAGAATCCTGTCTTATTTATTAGAATATCTCCTCCCCCCCCACACCAATGATCAGGGTCTCTTGCACTTTGATGGCCAGCAAAAGATTGTATAGAATAAATGCAAGGTACCATGATAATAGTAACAGTTAGCATTTAATGGGGGTGTCCTCTGTGTAAGACTGTGCTAAAAGATTTGCATTTATTAGCCCACGTAACTCTCAAAAACACCTATGGTTTTTATAATCTCCATCTTACAGATGAGGGAATTGAGGCTTAGAGAGGTTCTATTGCTTCCCAAGGATTCAAACTCATATTCTTAATCACTACACCGTGTCTACTTATAACAATGGATACCGTCAAACGAGGTCATGCATGTAAAATGATAAACATTGTGCCTGATGCAGAATGAGTTTTTCATTATCATGATCATTATTTTATCACCTGAATATGCACCAGGTTCGGTTTGGGCATGGGACGTACGTTTCTTCAATTTTATTCCATAACAACTCCATTTGCTCTTAGCATCTCTAGCTCCTCCATAAGGAAAATGCAGTTCTGGGAGGTAGTAACTTGCCCGTGGAAAGTCTTTTAAGTAAGAAAGAAGTCAGAAAGAGACCTGGAGTTTCCTACTAGTTTCGTGAATATCTGGTGAATGCTTGGATAACCTGAATTCAGATCATAATTGGTAACATGGTTGTTTTTCAATCTCAGACAAGTCAGAGCACATATAAGCCTGAGCAAAGATGAAGAATTTTCAGAAAAATACACCCAGCGTCGCAGGCTGTGGTTCAGGGAATTGCCAAGCAAGAAGCAAGTGAGTATCATCTTGATGAGGGAGAAGGAACAGAGGAAGCTTGAGTTTTTAGGGTCTACGCTCCTCGAGGTACTGTTTGCTGCCATGCCCAGAATCTAGGGTCCTGCTTGGCACGTAACAAGTGCTTAATAAATATTTAGTGAATGAATGCCTTAGAAGAGAGAGAGAGAGAGAAAAAAAAAAGACCAGTTAAAATAGCCTACTCTGCTATGTTTTGGCAGAACTTGAAACCAGACAGTGAATGGGGAAAAATGTATTCTGGCTACTGCCATTTTGAACCCAGGAGTAATTTTCAGCTCAGTGTTGGAGGAAACAGTGTTCTTAAGACGTGTGATAAACCCAAACACAGTTTATAGCGTGTGTGAAAGGAAAGGGCTGTTTATCTTTTTTCAAGAGAGAAAAACCCATAAAACAAAGTGAAACTACTGGGGTGGAAATCAAATTTCAAGAATTGTGGCTTAAAAAACATCCAGGGGTGCCTGGCTGGCTCAGTCCGTGGAGCATGCGACTCTTGATCTCAGGCTCATGAGTTCGAGCCTCGTGTTGAGCACAGAGCTATTGTAAAAAAGAAAAGAGAAATATCCAGTGCGATGCTGGCAAGAGAATTTGTGATCTTGACAACATACAAAACGATGAGTGGGTTGCTGGATTCAAAAGTTGTTTTATGGTCATTTCCTGTGTTTATCCACTCTGGTTTTTGCTTTGGTGCATCCAGACGGGTGAATTGGGGCAGCAGGGAAATGTACTCTATCCCTATTCTTTTTTTAGTGCAGATTACTAAACCAATAGTACAACAAATAATTCCTTGGTTTTTACAGTCCAACAGAGACCATGTGCAACCATCAAAACGCAAGCCACTGCCTCCCCTCCCACCCTCTGAGGTTACTGAAGAGAAGATCCAAGTAAAGGCGCTGTATGATTTTCTGCCCAGAGAGCCGTGTGATTTAGCATTAAAGAGATCAGAGGAGTACCTGATATTGGAGAAGTATAACCCTCACTGGTGGAAGGCAAGAGACCGTTTGGGGTAAGACTGGTGTCATGGTCCTCATCAAATTCCTCTTCGTTTATCCTCTGAAGACTTCTGAAGCGTAAAATCTGTTTTGTGGCTCATTTCCTCTGGGTTTAGAATTCTCCCTTCTGCATGGAGCAGAACCTATCCCCACATGTCCTATCTGTATGAGAGAGCATTACAGCACTGCAATTTCAGGCAGTCACAGAACTGCATGTACCCGGCTTCACATCCCGATGCTGTCACTTACTATTGTGTGTCCTTTGGTAGGTCACTTACGCTGAGTTTCTCTTCCTTCCTTCCTTCCTTCCTTCCTTCCTTCCTTCCTTCCTTCCTTCCTTCCTTCCTTCCTTCCTTATTTCTTTATTGAGGTATAATTGACATTTAACATTATATTGGTTTCAGGTGTGCAGCATAATAATTCAATATTTATATCTATTATGGAATGATCACCACAATATGTGTAGTTAACATCCATCACTATGCATAGTCATGAAAAATTTTTTTCTTGTGATGACAGCTTTTACAATGTACTCCCTTAGCAATTTTCAAATATGCAATATAGTATTATTGACTTAGAGTCACCATGCGGTACATTACATCCCCATGACTTCTTTATTTTATAAATGAAACTTTGTACCTTTTGACCCCCTTCACCTATTTCACCCACCCTCCACTCCCTGCCTCGGGTAACCACCAATCTGTTCTCTGTATCTATGAGTTTGGTTGTTTTTTTAATTAAAAAAATTTTTTTAGATTCCAGTGTAAATGAGATAATACAGTATTTGCCTTTCTCTGTCTGACTTATTCCACTTAACATAATGCCCTTGAGATCCATCATGTTGTTGCAAATAGCAAGATTTTCTCCTGTTTTATGACTAATTTTCTGTTGTGTGTGTGTGTGTGTATATATCTATATATCTGTATATCTATATCTATATAGATATATATACCTCTTTCTTTTATCCATACATCCATCAATGGGCACTTAGGTTGTTTCCATATCTTGACTATTATAAATAATGCTGCAATGAGCATGAGGGGTGCACACATCTTTTTGAGTTAGTGTTTTCATTTTCTTTAGATAAATAGCAGAAGTGGAATCACTGGATCATGTGGTAGTTCTATTTTTAATGTATTTTTGTTTCTTTATTTGTAAAATGGGAATAATAATTTCTACCATACAGGGTTTTTTTTTCTGATTTATACTTTCTTTGAGTTTTTGACTCCTTTTTTCTGCTAAGCTCTAAGGTAGGAACAGAAATAGTATCTCGCTAATTTTCATATTTCTGCAATGACTAGTTTTGGAAGTAAACATTGCAGTACTTGCCGAATTAAATTGGAAGGAAAAAAAGACCTTGGGATGCAAACAGACTTCATCATGTTGGGAGCAATAGATTGTACCTGCCTAGAGTCTGAGGTAGATGATTCTGAGGGGGATCTGGGCTGCTTGGAACAGAATGCTGACATTTGATTTCTATTCTTTGTGATGATTTGGAGATGATAAGTATCTGTGTATTAGAAGTATCTAGTTATATACCTCTTTCTTTAATTATATTTTCCTGATGGTTTGGCTCTCTTAACAGTTTTTAGTTTCAACTTAACATGTGATGGAGACTTTTCAGTGGGAAAAGAGGTATGAGTAAGTTCAGGACCATGTAATTAGCCCTCCTGCAGGTTGGCATTGGCATGACTCAGACTTTAAAAAAAGACGAATTACCTTTTAATTTCAAAGTTAATAAGTGAATATCGCTTTTTATAATATGCAACCATGATAAATAATGCCTCCAAACCCAAGCACCATTATTCACTTAGTGAGTACCCTTCTGGAAAATTTTCAATGCACTTTCATGTCCATATTGAAATACACATTCTTATTTGCAGATTTAGTTTACCTAATTCTTACCATGCTTTATGCGTTGTTCTGCAACTAGCTTGGATTTTTCAATAATGTCATGGAGATCTTTTTGCAATTTTATAATTTCAAATTTCATTGGTGAAGGTATAGAAAAAGAGAAACCCTTACCCTGCTGATGGGTGTGTAAATTTGTATGTTTTCCTTCAATGGCAATTTGCTGCATCTAAGGGGAGATGCACATATTTGGTGACCCAGCAATTTCCCCGTTTGGTATCTGTCTTAGAGAATTACTTTTCCTGGTGCACAAGAAGGCATGTTCATGTGTTTCTGTGCAGCATTTGCTATAATAGGGACATGGCTAAACCAGAATATCTATTCTATCTATTTTACAGCAATTCAAAAGAATTAAGTTGATATCTTTGTTGTTGCTGTGTTTTTAATCTAGTCACTATGACATCCCAATGATCTCGTAAGTGCCGCTTTCCTTCTTTGAAAAATTTTGATGTCACGAAACATCTTAAATTACTTCCATTGTAAGTCAGAACCTTAGTATTTGTCAAACAGAGATTTTAGTTGAATATGGAAATGAAAAATCCTTTTTCTTCTTTTAGAATTTAATCAGCAAAATGAGTTTGATTTCCTCCTATGTCCTTGAGGTTTTAAAAAGGATTGTTGTCACGATAATGCCACAGATGTACCAAGCATTTTGATTTTGGCTTTGTCTTTTGTTGTAGGAATGAAGGCTTAATCCCAAGCAACTATGTGACCGAGAACAAACTAACCAATTTAGAAATATATGAGTAAGTCTCCTCCAAAATATGCTCTATGGTTGATCTATGAAAAATCAGGTACATTTGGGCAGCTTACGAGTATAGAAGCTGGTTTTGGTCTACAAAAGGAAAAGAAAGTAACACATCTGGCTGCTTTAGTTTGAGACATCTTTGATCCTTATGATGGTTGATTCAGAAACTTCTTTTTCTTAAACTTCTTTTTGTTTTGTTTTGTATGACGACTTTTTTGGGTTTGTTTTAACAGTGACTGCATGGAAACCAAACGCTCATCTTGGTCTTGTTTTACTCTATGTCCTAAATGGAAAAATAACTATTTCAAAAATGACCTTAGTTTTTTAATGAGTGGTAAATTGAGCCTAACACAGAGACACACAACTATATTTTGGCTCATGTTTTGAAACGTTTTAGAAATAGCTAAAGAGGAGAAGCAGGCTAATGCTGTAGTTTGGGGGGAACTTCTGGCGTGTTCACTAAGGTTCTGCTTAGAAACTTATTTTTGTTACAATGATAGATTTGGAAGATGGAGATCTTAGCAATCACTTTTCTAGCCCCCCATTCCGCAGATCAGAAACTAAGGTTGTGAGAGTAATTTACAAGCAGAGAGTGGCAGAACTGGGAGTAGTCCTAGTCTTTTATAAATTCAGGTTTGCATAAGTTTTAGCACTTGACTGCCCTCCCCCAGTTTAGATACTCGCTTTGCAATTAGCATATGCTTCCAGCCTTGTGGCGGTAGGTGATGTGGGTTGAGGCATGAAGACAGGTGCTTCTCAGAGAACCAGAAGGCAAATATAAATTGAATGAGAACCAACCCCTCCCTCCCAGCCCCTAGGTGTCTGCCTTGCTACTAATTTAAGCCCACGTGGAGGCCAGACTCAGCATCTCTCTCCCTAAAGCAAATCCAATTCTAAAAGTATTGGTGGGGGTCGCTTGGGTGGCTCACTTGGTTGAGTGTCTGACTCTTGGAGCCCCACGTGGGAGTCTGTCTGGGGATTCTCTTCCTCTGCCCCTCCCCCACTCGCATGGGTGCATGCATGCATGCGCTCTTTCTCTCTCTAAAATAAATAAATCTTTAAAAGCATTGGTGAATAATGTAGACTTTCTTGGAGGGGACAAGGGATGACTACAGGACACATGACACATCCACATGACTTTACCAGGCTTCTCTATTAGCTACTTCTGTTCTCTCTCCCCTCTCCCCGCTTAGTACCATCACAGGTCTCTTCTGTCTTCTCTGTCCTTCACTCCGCTTGTCATGCCCCCTCTCTTGACCTGAGTCATTTAGCTCTGCCCCAAAAATCTAGCCTCCACTCAGTAGGACAAAGGCCCTAGGTGACTGAACACACCATCCTAAGAAAACAGTTTCACAACTCTCTACCGTCACCTTGGGGGGCTCGCCACTGCCCCCAACTGGAGCTGCCCAGCACAATAGGTCTCTTTTGAAGGTCAGGTCAGGGGAAGTTCTGTGTGAAAATCTCCTGTTAAGAAAAAGACTTTTTTCGGGGCACCTGGGTGGCTCAGTCGTTAAGCGTCTGCCTTCGGCTCAGGTCATGATCCCGGGGTCCTGGGATCGAGCCCCGCATCGGGCTCCCTGCTCAGCGGGAAGCCTGCTTCTCCCTCTCCCACTCCCCCTGCTTGTGTTCCCTCTCTCACTGCCTCTCTCTGTCAAATAAATAAATAAAATCTTTAAAAAAAAAAAAAAAGACTTTTTTCCATATCGTAAACCCAGTTCAGACTTTCCAGGAGATTAAAGGAGGTATGTGTGAAAGTACCTAACACAGTGCCCGGGAGTGAGTAAATGGATGCTCACTAAGCAACAGTGTGACTTTCCTTCCTTTCATTATTAATTAATTTGCTGGCTGCCCCCTTAGTTTAGACGAGGGTTGGAGTCTGCCCTTAACAGCTTGTTCATACTGTAGATATTGGGTAATTTGAATTAAACTACCCTGAACTTAAAATAATCATCTCATTTTCTTGGCTTTGATTTATGTGTCTTTGAAAGTTATCTTCTTTAATTTTCTAATTGTGGGAAAATTAATTTTTTATTTCTGTTTCTTTTTAAAGGGGTTTGTTAAAATATAGATATAATAATTATCAATATAAATCACTAAAATATATCCACCACTTACTATATGCCAAACATCGTTCTAATGACTGTGTAGAAATTATGGCCCTAGGTTGAAATACTATAGTATAAGCTTAGAAATCGGAGAAATCTGGGTTCAAAGCCTGACATCACCACTGACTAGTGCCTGGGCTCTGGGCAGAATTACTGAATAGTTATAAACCTCTAAATGATATGAAAACTTGGAACTGAGATACCTGTCTCATGTAGGACCTAGTAAATATTTGATACATTCTAGAACTGTGAAGCTAACAGGAAGGGCATTCCCAGTTTGCCTGCTGTTACAGAGGTACCACATTTCATAGTTACCTCAGCCCCTGAATCACTCATCTGGTCAATCTTTACTTATTGTCCATTTTGATGTGCCGGGTGTTAGCTGTTGTGGGCACTGGAGATACAACGCATAACACGTAGATGCACTCCCTTCTTTTGTGGAACTTACAGCTTCATGGGAAAAGAGACATAAACCTCAAATTCACAAATAAATATAAAATTTTAAATTGTGGGGGCGCCTGGGTGGCTCAGGTCATGATCCCAGGGTTCTGGGATGGAGTCCTGCATGGGGCTCCTTGCTCAGCGGGGGGTCTGCTTCTTCCTCTCCCTCTGTTGCTGCCCCCCTACTTGTGCTCTCTCTCTCTCTGTCAAATAAATAAGTAAAATCTTAAAAAAAATTTTTTTTTAAACTGTGGTGTCATGAAGGAACAGTATGGGACACTGGGAGAAATCAATGGAGAAGGCTAAAAGATGAGGATATTGGGATAGGGAAGACCTCTGAGGAAGTGACTTGAGGTCTAAAGGAAGTAGGGGTGGATGGGGGAAGGAATGCTATGTTAGTGTAGGCTTCTGACATCTCAGGGGAAACTTTATACTTTGAAATATTTATGGCTACTTTGGTTTTAAATTAATATCCAAATTATCAACAGTACAGTGTGAAAACCTGGTTTTCAGTAAGCCTTCAAATCTTGATATACTGTTTATAAATCTAAAAAAAAAAAGAACAGTCACCTTAATTCAAACTCAACAGTATCCTTAAACAATCAGTCCTATTTATAAGCTCAGTTAATTAAATTTCCCAAAACATTTCACTTGCATTAATAAACTGAATGAATTCAATTTTCTGTTTAAATATTTTATATGCCTGACAGGGCGAATTTACAATTTCAATAGCCCTTTGTAAGTCCATATATGATCTCAGAAATCTAATAAATCAAACTTAAATGTGATAAGCTAAATTCTCGTAACCATACAAACATTTAAAAAGTCAAATTCCCTTAAACTTCAAATTGTAAGTTTAAAATTAATTTTGCATTTAAAATCAGAGGCTAAAACTTAATATGTCCGATTCTCTTAAAATAATACTTTATTTTATTTTTTAAAGACTTTATTTATTTATTTGAGAGTGAGCACAAGTGGGGGGAGGGGCAGAGGGAGAGGAAGAAGCAGACTCCTCGCCGAGCAGGGAGCCCGATGTGGGTTTCCATCCCAGGACCCTGAGATCATGACCTAAGCTGAAGGCAGTTGCTTAACTGACCGAGCCATCCAGGTGCCCCAAAAATAGATACTTAAAATATCAAACATATTGCTTATGCTGAATTTTACGGAAGCATGAGTTTCATTTATTGCATTTTCTCTCTGTTGAAAGTTTCATCTTCTCAGGGTTAGAAAATGACTAAGAGAAGCAGATTTACCATCTTAGATCTAACAGGGTTTCTAGGTTGAAAACTCAAGACCACAATACTGTTACTTGTTGATTCTAAGACTGGGACAGGTGTACCCAAGGCTAACATGTACACAAGACGTTTGTACTTGGTAACAGTTGGACATGCTAGATGGTTTTCATATGCCAGTAGAAACCCTACCCTAAGCCCTCTGTCCACATCATTCAGTATGAGTTTTATAATCAGTGTTGTCCAGGCATAAGAGTTGCAGCATTACCTATTTAAAAACAAAACAAAACAAAACAAAACACAAAATTCTTCTTGACTATCTGATTTAACCAGATGAAATTCTGAAACAGCATGCCCCCTCACCTCACCTATATCATATCCATCTATTCTTTTTTCTGCCTGTTGAAATTCTGCATTATTTTAAAGGATATGAAATTCATCATATACTTGTCTCTGGTTCTTCTCTTACTACTTTGAAGTCATTTTAATGACATCTACACATGGATGGATTTTTAACTTATATTTAAGCAAAATTAATATATTTGCTTATATTACTTATCACCATAATAAGTAAGTACAAAACAACAAAATTAACACTTAATGTGATTATAGGTGAGAAACATTTAGAATAAAACAATTTATGTGAACTTTTTAAAAAAGATTTTATTTGAGAGAGAGAGAGTGTATGCGTGCATGGGAGCATGCACTCTTGGGTGAGTGGGGGGAGGGATAGAGGGAGAGGAAGAAGCAGACTCCCCACTGAGCAGAGAGCCCACTGCAGGACTCCATCCCAGGACCCTGGGATCATGACCTGAGCCAAAGGCAGATGCTTACCCTCTCTCATTTATTTTGAAAGAATTTCTTCTTTCTACAACAAGAGGTCTTAGACTCATTCTGAAAGTCCCTCCCCCAATATGAATATTCGTTAAAAAGTGCTGAATGATATTCACAGTCCAACATCACAATTAACTCCTGTTCCCACTAGTGATAAGTAGTCCAATGGTTTCATCTAGAATCACCTGTAATCATCCTCTCTTCTCTATGCTTTATCTTTTTAAAAGTTCATTTTCAACTTGAGGCCATTAGCATTTTTAATATGTGACCATTCTACTTTAGTGGCAGCTTTTTACTACTGCAGGTTAGTCCACAAGATACGATAGATTCTGTCCTCAAAGTCAGATAGAGGATTTTCATGTAGCCACCATTTGGCCTACCCACTGTGACTCAGTGTATGGTTATACATGCATTCTTCTTTCCACTGTCCACAAAAATAGCATTTCTGGTAATATTCCCTTAACTCCTTTTTAAAATCTTATTTTGAAACAAAAACTTTTCCATTTGTTTTCTCTCTCCTTTGTTCTACCATTTCCTCTCTCTTTCCTGTACAACATTTGCTTACTGACTAGGTCTTGTTCTGCCAAACTATGGGTTTCAATTATACTCATTTAATTGTGTTTACTGTGAGAGGATCTGATATTCTAAAGTCATTTCAGGATATGTTTCATACGGAGGAAACAGCAAGATAGGAGGCAGAAAGGGGCTTGGTGAATTTGAGGAAGGAAAGAATCCCAATATGGCCGAAGCTTAGCATGAGGGGAGAACAAGCAGAAAGACGAGAGGGTGTTTGGAGCAAGGCAGGTACTAGTTGCTCCATTTACATTATTAAACCACTAACTTTACTACAGGTTAACATACTTGGGGGAGTCAGATGGGCCAGAGTACGTTTTAATTTTGGAAAGGTAATATGGCACAGATAAAAGCAGGCAAATAGGAAGTTCCCAAGAGCAAAGAAAGAAACGGGTATTTTTTAGTTTGTCTACCAAAGCTCAGTAAATGTTCATTGACTTATTAACCACATACGTTTCATGAAAATTTTCAGGAGATTAAATCACTCAAAATCACAAACTAAGTATCTGTCAGAAAGTTGAATTGAGATATGATAGAATAAACTAGGTATCGGCTTACAATTAATAAAACTGTTATACTAAATGACACATAATAGTACATTGTTGTTTATCGGAAATAAAAAACGCTCAGCTTTCTAAAATCAGTTCTGGAGTAAAGTTCCTAAAAATGAAGGAAATGAAGCAGTTTTTTTTTTTTTTCTGGAAAAAATAGAATATAAAATTTTAAAATTATTTTTATTGCTTTTACAGGTGGTACCATAGAAACATTACCAGAAATCAGGCAGAACATATTTTGAGACAAGAGGTAATTCACTTTATTCATGAATAACTTGTGAATATTTTCAAAGTTTCTAACAGATGTTCATTGTAAAGATTTGACCAAACTTAAAAGTTTTATTACTTCCTGTTCTTTTCAGTTCTAAAATATTATTACAACTTTATCTGTACTGTGCAATTTCCGATAAGTTGTAAACCAGATATATTTGTATCAGCTCATGTTTTTCATTGACTTTCATTGTAACTTGAGAAGTGTATTTTTCCTGAAATGATTTCAACTCCAACGTACTGAAACTCCTCATTCACTCCAAAGTGCATCCCGCAGTAGAGTCTATATTGGAATTGCCCATACACCTTTGCATCACATACAATAAAATATATACTCTGTCTTCATGAGCTTAGCTAAGGCTTCTTAAAAACACAAATAGAGAAAAATACTGAGTGCTACATTTTCTTTGTTCTTTGGGAACAAAAGGAAGAGTGAGGTAGCCAAAATATCAAACTCAGATCAAAACTGCTCTTTTAGGTCAAAGCAAAACAAAAGTGCATACAGTTTCCAACGGACGGTAAATACGAACTGTGGGTAAATGTAGAGTCAAACCTAGAAACTAGGTAAGAGGTATGTGTGTCACTTTGCCCTGCTATCAGATGTTGAGGAAATCTAGAAATATGAGTGAGAAAGAGTCAGTTCTGGAACTACAAAGTCAATACCAGTAAGGACTCAAGACAGAAGGGAGGTCTAGTGGATAGCAGGGGGTTAGACAGAGTTTGAGCGACCCAGACCCAGGCTCAGCTGGGGGTAGGGAAGGAGGTTGGAGGCCAGGCTTGGCTTCACTGGCTAGGAGGAAATGGGACGCGGCAGCAAATGTGGGACCCACCGGGCATGGTGACAGCAGGTGGCCTCCTGTAAAGTGATATTAGTAGGTCTAGAATGGACAAAGATGTTATGACAAGTAGGCAGAACTGGAGAAGGAAAATTCTCAAGTCGGTCCACGGTAAGCAAGTTACCCTCTCTCATTTATTTTGAAAGAATAGGGTGATAGGGTCAAAATCACAGGGGCTGTGCGGGATCAGCTGGAGAGACTCTTGCGCCTGCCAGGGAGCCAGAACAGAGCCGGGGGCTGACCTCCCTACAAAGACTAGATGAGGGAGTTATGCAACAAACCTCCACACACCCATAACCCACACAGCACAAATAGCAACATTTGGCCATAACATGCTTAGACAAAATAAAACCTGGCAGATGCAATTGACACCCATCCCTTCCCTCATCTGTTTTGTCTCCGCCCACTCTCCAGAGACAATCACCTTAGAAGGGTGTGCCCCCACTGCATCCATGTGCTTATATTTTTATCATATATTGGTGCATGAACAGCCCACAGTGTTACGTGTTTTAACATTTGACATAAGGGAGATCATAGGTATGTTGATTTTTAATGAAACATTGTATTTCAGTTTCATTCCCATGGATACATAAAGAGCAAACACATTCCTTTAACTGCTGTATTTCATTAGATGAGTATAACAAATGTATTACTAATCATTCACGTTGTTTCTAACTTCTTAGTATTATGAACAATGCTGCCAAGAACTTCCATGCACATGTCACCTTGTACACAAGGGCAAGGGTTTCTTTCGGTTATACCCAGAAATGATCTGGTCAGAAACTATGTGCAGACTTAGCATTACTAGATATTTTGAAATCATGACTCAAAGTACTTGTACTAGTTTATATTCTTACAAGGAATGAGAAAACTGGTCCCCTACATTCTTGCCAACAGTTGGTAGCTTTTCTTTGATTCACTGAGAAATGGTATATATATTTTAAAATGTGCATTTCCTTGATGAACAGTTCAGTTGAGTGACTTTTCATGTGTGTGCTGGCTATTTGGGCTTCCTCTGCTGTTACATGTCTGCTAATACCCTTTGCTCATTTTTCACTATGTTCTTTTGATTTTTGGCCCTAAAATTTTTTTATGCTCTTTTCTTATTTTAAATTTTAAAACATGTTAATGTCAAATTTCTCAATTTTTATGATCTTTTTTCCTTTTTCAGTATAATAAATTCTTCTCTCTCCTGAAGTGATAAAATGATATTTTCTTTTAAATGGTTTAAAGATTTGCTTTTCATATTTAGGTCCTAATCTGTCTAAAGTGTGTGTGTGTGTGTGTGTGTGTGTGTATGTTATGTGTGTGGATATTTTTTAAAATATACATATTTTTCCTATATATCTAAAAATATGTTTGTAATTTATATATTTTCTATTTTTTTAAGTACCTGGATTAAATCCTACTTGATCATGAGGCATTTAAAACATATATATTGCTAGTTTGAGTTTCCTAATACTTTAGTTAGCATTTGTCCTGCTATGTTCACAAGAGGCCTGGCTTCTAATTTCCCACTCTCTTTGTTTAGTTTTAGTATAAAGGCTGTACTAGCCTCATAAAATGAGTTGGGACATGAGGTTTTGTCTCTTTCCAATCTTTAAAATAGTTTATATTGAATAGAAGTTATTTGCTCCTTGAAGTTACATATATCTCTCATAAAATAGTTTGGACATGCAGCTTTTTCAAACAGATAATTGAGTACTGATTTAATTTCCTTTTCTTCTTGAGATGTTTGACAATTTATATTTACGTGGAGAGTTGCCTACTTTATATTTATTTTCAAATTGATTGCATAAATTTTTATAGAAGTATTTTATAATTTTATTTATTTCACATTTCAATGGCATGTTCATATAGTTTAAAAATCAAAAGATTTTGAAGTTTTCTCCCATCCTTGTCCCCAAGATACCAGTTCCCTTCCCCATAGACAAACTTCTATTATTAGTTTATTTTGTGTCCTTTCAGAGATATTTAATACATACACAAACAACTAGAAATATATTTTCTTATATTGTTATTTTTACACAAATGGTAACATATTATATATACTCTTGTGTGCATTACTTTTTTCACTCAGCAATATGTATTGGGAAGGAAACTTTTCACATCAATACACAGAAAGTGTCCTCATTCATTCTACAGCTGCATAGTATTTCTTGCATTGGGCGTATCACACTTTATTTAGGAAATTTAATGGAGGGGTGGAGCACTGGACTCGTGGTTTCGGATTGGTTGTGACCTCGGGGTTGTGGGATTGCCTGCGTGGGACTCTGCGCTTGGCCCAGAGTCCGCTTAGGATTCTCTCTCCCTCCTCCTCTTGCCCTACCCCTGCTTGTGCTCTCTCTAAAATAAATAAATAAAATCTTAAAAAAAATTTAATGGGAATTTAAGTGGTATACACTCTTTTGCTATTGAAACAGTGCTGTTGGGGCGCCTGGGTGGCTCAGTCGTTGAGCGTCTGCCTTTGGCTCAGGTCATGATCCTGGGGTCCTGGGATCGAGCCCCGCATCGGGCTCCCTGCTCCGCGGGGAGCCTGCTTCTCCCTCTCCCACCCCCCCTGCTTGTGTTCCCCCTCTCACTGTGTCTCTCTCTCTAAGAAATAAATAAAAGTCTTAACAAAACAGTGCTGCTATAGGTAACCTACCTACATAGCTTTTCCCATTTATGTGAGTATATATGTAGGATAAATCCCCCAAGATAGAAATTCTGGGTCAAAGGGAATGTACATTTCTAATTTGGGGAGGTATTAAATACCCTCTACAGGAGTTGTACAATTTACATACCTGCTAAAAGTTGTAAGAGTGCCCATTTTCTCACAACCTTTCCAGCAAATGTTTAATGAAATATGTGGCACTTTGCTCTCTGACATCTCATCTCAGTGTGGGTTTCATTTACATTTCTCCTATCCCAGAAATGTTAAGCATCTCTGTGTATATGAAATTTTAAATATTTGTATCTCCTTTTCTGTAAGATGTCTGTTCATATCCTTTGCAAAATTTTCTGTTGTTGCTTTTTTTTAATGCTTTCCTCACAGTTCGTAGGACCTATGTAGCTACATTAAGAAAATTAGCTCTTTGTGATATGTGGCAATACTTTCCCCAGTTTTTCAACTGTCATATATTTTTTTTTTGCCATGAATAGTGCTTAAATTTTATGTGTTCGAATTTATCAGACAAATTTTTTAAAGCTTTGTGTCAGGTTCGAATTATCTTACCCGCTCTGAGCTTTAAAAAAAAATGCCTATGTTTCTTGATTACTTCAGTGGTTTTATTTTTTACATAGACATGTTTGATTCATTTGTAATTATTCCTGATGTAGAGTGAGGTATGGATCTGATTTTATTTTATTTTTTCTAGATAGTTACCAAGTGTCTATCTTTTCTGTATTGATTCGAGGTACCACTTTCATCATAAGCACAGCTCCTATGTTGGACTACATCTGAACTCACTACTTGGTTTTATTGATCAGCCTGTGTATTTAGGTGATACCTTTATAATATTTCAAATACTGAGGCTCTCTTTGTGTGGCTAGCCTCCCTCATTCTTTTTTTCCAGAAATACTCTGGAGATACATTTTATACATATGAACTTAACAATTATTTTGCCTAGTTTTAAAAAGCTTCCTGCTGGTGTATTAAATTTACAGAGTAATTTAGGGAAAATTGTTTGGGCATTACAAATCAGTGGGGTTTGGGGACGAGTTTGTTCTGGGACCCATATTAATTATTCCTGTAGAAAAAATTAAAATCAGGTCCCTACTTCAAGCAAAAATAAATCTTCGATGGATTGAAAACCTAATGAGAAAAGCAAACATCTTTATATTCTTTAGGAGCATTTTATTGATTTATTTTTAAAGATTTATTTATTTATTTGAGAGAGAGAGAGAGAGAAAGCATGTGCACGGTGTGGCAGGGGGCAGAAGGAGAGGGAGAGAAAAATTCCAAGCAGACTCCAGGCTGAGTGCAGAGCCCAGCGCGGGGCTTGATCTCAAGACTCAGAGATCATGACCTGAGCAGAAACCAAGAGTCGGTCGCCCAAATGATTGTGCCATCCAGGAGCCCCTTTAGGATCATTTTAAAGTTTTCTTCATATAGCTCTTGCACATTTGTTTGTGTATTTTTCTGTTGCTACTATAAATGGGTATCTTTTTTTTTTTTTTTTACTTATGAAAGCTCTTGAGTTCTGTGAATTAATTTTGTAACAGAAGACTTGGTGAATTCAAAACTTTTTTTGGTAGTAGTTTTTTAGTTGATTCTCATGAGTTTCAGGTAGACTCTTACCAGTAGCAAACAGTGATGATTTCAGCTCCTTTTTATAATTTAATAGAGTATTTCTTGGTGGGTTTTTGTTTTGGTTTGGTTTCTTTTCTTTCTTTTTTTTTTTTTTTTTTGGCCTCTCATTTAATTGCATTAGCTGGCATCTCAGAACAATATTAAATACCAGTGCTGACAGTGGGCATTTCTTTTTCCTGATTTTAGTTGGAATGATTCCCACAGAAAACATAATGCTGGACTTGGGACTAACGTAAACATGGACTATTGTGTTACAGAAGTACATATTTATTACTATTTTACTGAGAATTTAAAGAAAACTGATTCTAGAAATTGAAATTTGTCAAATGCCCTTTCAATATCTATGGTGATGTTCATGAGATTTTTCTTCTCAGATCTGTTAGTAGGATGAATTAATAAAATTCCTAATATTGAATTACTTTTTCATTCCTGTATGCAATCCTTCTTGGTCATGGTATATTATTCTTCCACTGTGCTACTGGATTCAGTTTGTTAATATTTAATTAGGATTTTTGAGTGGACATGAGTGAGATTTGTGCACAATCTTTGCTGTGTTGTTGGTGTTGATATTAAACCCACTTTATATAAAAATTTATAAGTTTTTCTTCTTTTCACATGCTCTGGAATCATGCAGCATCACAATATGTCCTCCATGGTGTTTTTAATGTTGTAGCTCTTTTAAAGCCTTATCCATTTTCCCATTCAGTAGGTCCATTAACATTTCCAGATCTTCTGGAATCAATTTTGATAAATTTTATGTTTTGCTAGGTAATCACTCATTTCATTCAAATTTTCAAATGTATTATGTAGAGTCAAGGTGATGCTCTCATTTTTTTTCTGGATCTTTGTGGCTTATTTTTTTTGATATATTTCCCCTCTTATTTATTGGTTAGATTGGTTAGCAACTTACCTATTTCATTGTTTTTCCCTCTATAACCAGATTTTGAACTTAATGACTAGCTTTATTATATTTTTGTTTTTATAATTGATTGTTTTCTGCTTTTGTCTTCATTTCTTTCTTCCACTTGACCTGGTTCTTGCCCTAACTTCTTGAGGTAGATACATTTATTTTGTATTTCTTTTGTTTATTGATGTAAGCATGAAGACTGAGTACTGTTTGAACTATATAGCAGAGTTTCCGATATGTGGCATTTATTATTTTCTAGATGTTTTCATTTTTATTTGAATTTCCTTGAGTTATATAAAAGAGAACTTGAAAATATCCATGCAGTAGTAGCTTTCTCCTTGGGGGCTTGTTATTAATTTCTACTTTTATTGCTTTGTGGTGGTGACTGTTTGCACTCTTTCCACCTTGAAGAGGAGGTCACTACTTAGACAACTTGACTGAATGCATAGCATCTCTACATCTGTGTATATATACTGCCTACGTAGCCACTGTACGTACAACTTTGCTTTTTACATCTCCATCCTTTATACCTTCTGTCCTCTATGGTTTGTAACCCAGTCCGTGGACATGGTAGGAATTCAATAAAAGCTACATGTTTATTATTTTAAGTGGCTGTAAGAGATTTTTTGGTTTAAAAGTTTGACCAGAAAATGAGGCTTGTTCCTTGGTAAGCATCTAGAAGGAAGAGAAGGCTTTGCTTGATGTATCGTGCTCACTTTGAGGGTTACACCATGGTGTTTGTTGGGTTAGGGCAATTCTCAGGCAAGTTGTTGGCACTTCGAAAGTGTACACTTCCACACATTTGGCAAGCTTCTGAGATGGTTCCCTCTCCACAAGTGTAAACACACTAAGTAAAGGTGGAAACTTTTTTTTATGATATCAAACAAACAACACAAACCAAACAGTCCAACAACCAAGTCATTTGAAAACAATTTACAGCTTTATTGGGGGTTCCCAGAGGATGTCAGTGGGAATCCAATTTATAACCTAACATCAAACTTAAAATACTCTTCTTTCCTGCCCGTTCTCTTCTTGTCTCTCCCATGCCCTGGTGGCAACTAAAATCACTCCTCCGCTCTTCTCTCCAGACTCCCTCAAAGCTTATCCTCTCTCCATCCCTGTCATGGATTCTGCTCCCTTTTCCCCACTCCCTCCCTGCTTTTCCAGATGTATTTCTTGCTGCCTCCCTCACCCCACCTGCTGTGTTGTTTCTTTTCTTCCAAAATACAACCTGCCAATCTGTCTCACAGCACTTCCTGTTCATCAGCAATGTGTATCAATTACCTTGATTGATATAACAAAAATAATGAAATGGTGGGGTACAGGTTGTCAAGTGCAGAATTTTTCTTAGAAAAATCGGGACCAAGGTTTTAAAAATACTCATACATTATAAATTCTTGTCCCAATTAAATATTTTTTTGTAGGTGTGACTTCTTAACATATAAGGGAGATAAGATTGCATGTATTTGTGAAAACAATCTTATCCACTTGTAGTAAGTCAGTATGGTTTGGTTTTCATTCCTGAGATGTAGGTTTGTCTTTCTTCCTAATAACGACTAAATCTGTACAATGAATTGTTTTGCAGTCTAAAGAAGGTGCATTTATTGTCAGAGATTCAAGACATTTGGGATCCTACACAATTTCTGTGTTTATAAAAGCTAGAAGGTAAGCAATTGTGATTTTGATCACTTTAGAGGTAACGATTCTTGGGACAGTCTTTCTTAGTGAGACACTGTCACATGGAGAAAGAGAGGTCTTAGCACAGAAGATTGCTGGCCTGGAAGTTGGTACAACTGATCGATTCAAGTTGTATTCCTAACAAGCTCTGTGTGTGACTTTGGTAAGTTAAGGGACTTCTCCCTCCCGTCTCCTTTTCTCAACCATGAGGAAGTTGGCTTAGTGGTGGCAGACAATGGTGGTCCTTTCCTCATATCCCTTGGGGTTTACCTGCAGAGCATTCTCCTGCACTCAGAAAGCATCCTGTGCCTTTCTGCTGGAGGATGTTCTCTGGCTGTGGGAACTCGGGGTCCCCATGGGTAGACTGGAGGTGCCTGAGAGTTAACATCCTAGGAGCAACCCTCCATCAAGGAGGAATGGAAGATTGGCCCCTCAGCTCCTTTGCACTTTGGTGGGACAATTCTCAGACGTGTTCCACAGTCTCTCGAGGCTGCCTAGAGCCCCAGTGGCTATAGCAGACCTGCTCATCAGTATACTCTCTCTCAGTTTTCCTCCTTTGTTTCATGTCTCCTTATATCCCTCCCAGTGCATTTATTCACTCATTGAACTGATAACTAAATACTTATAAGTGTCCCTAACGGGCTCTACGATTTTGGACACTGGAGTTGTCAACTAGACAACTTTGGCTGAAGTTATGTTCGAATCTAAGGACCCAATAGATGGCTCAGGAATTTACCCAGGCATGCTGAGGCACCAGTTGAATGTAACCCACTCTGCAGTGCATAGTGTCACTAGGATAAAAGTTTTAGAGGTGGCGGGCGCCTGGGTGGCTCAGTCGTTAGGCAACTGCCTTCGGCTCAGGTCACGGTCCCGGGGTCCTGGGATCGAGTCC